ACGCTGCTCCCCTAGCCCAGTGTCCTCATCCTCTACCTCCTCAAATCCTTTCTTTTTGTTTTGACTGCTCCCTGGCTCTCAGCCTGTTGAGGGTACGTTGGCTTGAAACCGGCTTTCCTCTGTCACCTTCGCCTTGCTTGTCCCTACTCAGTCTCAATGTAGACAGATACCAATTCTATAGTTTACCCTGTCCCATTAAATCTGGATTAAATCTCCTTCTTATGTAGTTCCATGGGAACTTCAGTTTCCTCCGTCAAAGTATAACATCAAATTAAAGTCACTTGTTCCTTGCCTAGAACGTCTTTACTTTGCAAACTCCATATGATCTGGTCTGCTTTTACAACACAGTGAATGATACGCGGTGGGTGTTCAAACAGTAATCGCTAGTAACTTAATGGGTAGCATTCAAATCGAGGTGCAATGTTCTAAAGATGGAAGGATACAGAGAACAATGACTCTCATCTTCTATGTTTGATACTCTGGCCTTCTTTTCATACAACCTAACTTTAATTTTAGAAGCAACACCTTGCTATTGATTTCGCGGCCAGATTAAATCCCTAAACATTAACTACACGAAGGCATCACTTCTCTCCTGAACTGTTCTTGTCTGTTCCTTTCTCCATCTTGTCACTTGTACATATGCGCCCCTTCATCTTCCTCCCTCCTTAATCCTCCTCTTCTTCCAACCACCCCCTTCTTAGATTTAAGTAGAGCACAGTCCACATGGTTTTCAAATGCTTCGTTTTAGCTAAAATTCTAGCTATCCTTTTCAATGAAATGACCATTCAGAGAGAAAGTTACACAACTAGCGATTGCCAGAGTAGAGACGTGAGCCCAGGTCCTGTGACTCCAAATTCATGGTCATTAGCACACATTACACAGGATTCTCTCTAAATAGAAAACATGCATAATTTGATTATGCTGGCTCCTAACCACCACCTCCTCCCTTCTCCCAAATATCCACTGAATTAATTAGCCCTTTGATTAAATATATTCTAGTCAGAAGTCCTTAACAACTCAAGGGTATTGAAGGACAGACTTGGATGAACCCCCTAAACGTCTATGCAAAATGCTGTGTGTAGTCTTTTGTGCATTTTTTTTCTAAGAAGACTAATGTGCATCCAAACCTCAAAAGAACCATGGCCCCGGAGAGCTTAAGAACAGCTTAAAGTCTAAATAACTCCCTATAGAATGCAATCACCGCTCACCTCTCAGAGTTTCCAAATGCATAGTTCTCTCTTTGGAAAATCAGAACCACATTTCCGAATCTCTTGCAGCCTCCCGAAGTCTCCATCATTCTTTAGAGCACTCTTGGAGTTCTTCCTCCCTGGCCATTCTGAGCCCCAAGGACCATCTCTTTCAATGTCCTTGTCTCTGGCTGGATTACAGCCCAAGGAGGAGAATGTCTTTGCTTTCATGGTCAACAGAGGCAAAACTACCGAAGTCTTTCATGCCTAGAGATGGATAGGATAGAATCTGGGTAGGAAAAGCCCAATTCAGATGTGGATCACACAGTAGAGACCTCGGATGCCCAGAAATTCTAAACCCTTCTTGTTAAAATAATGGGCTGTGAATCTTTATTCTTTACCCTGTGGTATCTCAGAAAAGCTTCACATAAGCTGTTGTATCCCTGTCATCTAATCCAGTGCCTGACCAGAATACCATTCCTAAGCACCACATAAGAATTCCCAAAATAGCTGCTGCCAAGATGGATCCATGAATAACGGTACTTACTATACAAGCCTGATGCTGTGAGTTCAAGGCCCAGGACCCATGTGAAAATGGAAGGAGAGAACTGACTCCACCAAGTTGTTCTTCTACGTACACAGACAGACAGACAGACACCATGGCATGTGTGACACAGACACACATACACACAGACACTTCTTTTACTTTTTTCTTTTCTACAAGGACTTCACAAGAATTCTGGGGCTAGTGAATACAGCTCAGCTGACAAAGTCCTTGCCTAGCAAACATGAAACCCTGGGTTCCATCTCCAGTATTACGGAAAACTAAGTGGTGATGCACATATGCGACCCCAGCAGTAGGACATAGAGACTGGAGGACAGAAGTCCATTGTCTTTACTGCAAGTTTGAAGCCAGTCTGGGATACATGAGACCCAGAGATGGGTAAAGGGAGAGGGGAAGGGAGGGGAGGGGAGGAGAGGAAAAGGAGAGGAGGGGGAGGGGAGGGAAAAAGGGAGGAGAGGAGAAGAAAAGAGAGGGGGGAAGGAAGGAGAGAAGAGGAGAGGGGAGGGAAGGGGAAAAGGAAGGACATGCAGGGAAGAAAAATCAATCACAAGAATTCATGAAGCATCCCATCTGAGACACTGGGCAGCAGGCTCTAAAGATCCTAGGTCAAAAGTAATACTGAGACAGAAGCAGATGTTCTGTATCCTGTAGGTGTTTACTGCCTACCGAGGGGCAGATGGCTAGAACTGGGCAATAAAGAATGGTAAGGGTTGATAATGGGAGAAGAGGAAGTGTCGGGAGAACATGGCAAGGTTGCTTAACCCATTCTGGAAGAGGAGCAGTTAAATGGTCTGGTAAGTTTCCAAGAAAAGGTGGCTATCAGCTGAACCATTTTTTTTTTTTTTTTACAAAATTGAATTAGCTACTGACCTGGGAGGGGATGGTCTAATAAGCCCATTTTGTGTACAGTGTGTGCAAAATGGCTCGTGAAATATGGATAGGGCGTGAGCGATAAGGAAGGAGAGCGTGGGGGAAGGTGAAAGGCAAGTTGTGGAGAACCGGCACATTCCAACATTGTTCTTAGAAGGCAAATACAAAACTTCTCTATAGACATCTCAAAAAGCATGCCTATGACCATATTGCATTTTAGGGACAGTATGACACAGTATGGCGATAAGGCAGTACGATTAAGTTGATTGAGTTTAGGATCATCGAAAAGACACAGCTATGGATGTCTATGAGTGTGTCTCCAGAGAGGAAGGAAAACCCACACACCCACCCTGAATATGAGTGGCATAGCCCACGGGCCGTGGTCCCAGACTGAAGAGGGGGGAGGGAAAATCTAGCTGAGTGCTATTATTTAGCTTTAGCATGACCTCCACCCCCACCAGCTTCCTAACTACACTATGCAACGCCACCACCCACCCATCACCAGCCCTTCCCATTATAATGGACATTATCCCCTCAACAGTGAGCCGAAATAAATCCTCCATCCTTAAGCTGCCAGGTGTTTTGTGTCAGCAGCGAGGAAAGGAACCAGTGCAGGGAAAGACACAGATGGGGCGACGCTGGCCCTAAATAAGACTAATGTAAAACCGTGACCAGAATGCTTGAGCTAAAACAATGGAAGGAGAGATGACGGCACATAGATGAACAGAGAGGTGCGTGTAGGATCTTCATCCAATGGGAAGAAAGGAAGGGAAGGCAGGGAAGGCAGGGAAGGCAGCGAATCCCCTAAGGTGATTCTTCTGTGTGCATAAGCTGGGGAAAAGAACCGAGAAGACAGATTCAGTCTCAACGTGTTGATTTCAAGATGCTTTGTGGACCATCTAAGCCTTAGAAGATGCCTTAGAAGAAAGGCCTTGCTACTGGCGTCATCTGTGTGTCTGCAGTGGTTGATGCTGTTGCAGTGGGTGAGATGACGTAGCCTACAGGGTGGCACGGGAAGACAGTCAAGAAGAGACCAGAGGAGCACACACTAACGGGTCTAAAGTGAGACTGGCCCTTTAAGGCACGAAGTAGTGACTTTCAAAAGGGCAGAAGAGAACAAGGATGGTTGGGTATTACAGAATCTAAGAGTCCAAACATAAGAGAACGAATGGTCAACTACTCAAAATAGTCCCGAGAGCCTGGAGAAGGGACTTTAAAATTCTCTATAGTGTTTGGTGCAAATAAGCCTTTGGTGACCTCAACAAAAGGCAGTCTTCAGAGTGGAGGACCAAAGCCCCTGAGTAGGTATGAAGGGACAGGTAAGAATTAAGGACAGTGAGGTCTTGTCGCCCACTCTTTCAAGATGAAAATTGGGTAGCACTGGAGGTGGCCTCTGGAAAGGACCGTAAATTCAGAAAATACCTAAAGAAGAGCAGAAAACCTCCTAAATCGGTGGGCTTGGGCGTGTGCTAAATACGTAAACAAATCCCAGAAGAGGGCTCTTTCTGAGTCCCGCTGAGCATTTTGTTTTCATCCCCTTTGTCATTGAGAAAAGGCTCCCTCCTTAACCAGGTGAGGTGAAACCAGAGCAAAAGCAGCCGTCTCGAAACCCTTTAACCACCGCTCCTTGCGGCCCACCTGCTCTGCCCTGGGATACAAGTCCAGACCAAAAGCACCCGTAATCAGTTGAGAACCCGGCCCTCTATTCTCCTCTATTCTTAACCCAAAGCAGCCAGATCCATCCGAAGGGCTTGTTCAAATAAAAAAGTACAAAAGGGCAGTATGGATGCTGGGATCTGGCTTCAGGGAAGGGGCTTTCCCACTCGGAAAATAGTCTGTCTCCTTGCGGCAATTGTAGGAAGGCGTACAGAGAACGCTACTGAAATAGACGGCTTTAATGTTCCCCAACCTTGCCAAACGCTTGTCCAACAAGTCATAAACAAGAAGGCCAGGAGGCTGGCTGTCTCAGAAGGGCAGAGCTCACAGCCCCCTGCGGCTGGCTCCGGCCAAAGGGGGCTCGCTGCCTTGCCACAGGCGCGAGCCGTGGTGAGCTGAGACTCGTTCCCTAGCCCCTCTTTGCAACTTCCACTGGCTTGTTTTCCAGAAACGAGATACGCACATGCAAAGCCAAACAGACTCTGGCAACGACAACTCAAAATTAGCTCCGCGTTTGTGAGCCTGGAACTCGGTCCAGCTGAGGGCACGGGAAGGCAGCCCAACCCGGGACATTTTTCCGGCTGCTGCGGAGGCCCCTTTGCAAGGTTTGCCCTCGCTGCACGGTACAGCCACCGTGCTGCCGCGGTGACCCGGGAGCCCCAGCCATGGAGCACGCGCAGACAGGGGCGCCTACCCTACCCGGTCGGTGGCGTGGCGGCTCATGCTGCGGCGTCCGGGTGCCTCGCTCCAGCCAGGGCTCTGCGGACACGGCCTCGGCTGCGGTCCGGGGACCTGGGAGCTGAGCCCGGGACCGCGGCTCCTGACTGCGCTTGTTTGCGCTGGGCCGTTTGCTTTTGGGATGTCTCCAAGGCAGATGGAGTCAGGGGGCCGCTATCCCGGGGGACAGTGATTCCATTGGAAGCTGGCCTTTGACAGGACACACACATGACCTTTGACTAAAATGGCTTTAGGGAAGGAAAAGTGTCCGGACGTTGAAGACCCGGCGTCCAGCACCGCCATTCACTCTTCCACCCCCAACGGCGCCGGGTTAATTTTTCATCTTTCGAGCATAGTCTGTGAAGTTTGGTGTGCATTTCCCCTTCATTCTCTAGGATTCGTTCCTGTTTCCTGAAGATCTTGCGGCAGGACTTTCCTGCTGGGATGTTGGTAGATCCCTAAACCAGTCTTTCCGGGTGAACCCAGCGGGGTATGCATTCTAGAAAGTTCCTGCAGCACTCTGGGGAGTATGAGCACCATATTTCTACCCCTTCAACATTTCATAATTTTAAAGGGATTTTCACAATCGTGCTGTCGCTTGGCCTCCCGGAGTGTATGGGCGCCTGACTCCTGCTGCTATTTTACAAACAAAGAAACAGAAGAAATGTAGGCAGTCTTCTAAGGAGAGGGGTGAAGTCTTGGCCTCTGTTCTGAATGACTCACCTTAGCTTAATGATAAAACT